GGGCAGCAAGTTCGGTTTTGCAGTTGTCTATTTGGCACATAAGTAAATATATGTAGTATAGGTAGACAAGTACTAAACAAGAGAGCATTATTTTTCCTATTATAATCGAATCTCTTAAAACAGAAAGGTGCAGAAGAAAGCCTCCTCTATGCTGTATGTGTGCTGCAGCAAGGCAGTCACAAGCATTGGACCCCGTTCTGAAATGTGCAGGTGAAATGACTGTGCTTATTTCCCGTCTAGGTGACTGGTGCTGTTTTAGATGTCTTGGTTGATCCAGAACACTTGGCCCAGTCATCGCTGCCAGCATCCGCTACAGAAAGAATAAGAGTATCTTCTCTAAGCTTAAAATAAAAGCCAATGCCCAGTTGTACGTCTGTTTGGAATACGTGGCTTGTAAAGAGTCCATGGGGTTTGTTCTGGAGGGAACCTATGGATTGAAATCCGGAGAGCACCCGGGTGGGATGTACTGAAAACGCAAACCCTGTGCACCTGACTGGCATTGATCGTGAGAACACATGGTGAGCTAGAAGCAGCCTGTGTGCGGGATTGTCTCTCATTGATAAAATGTGTGTCTGTGAAGAACAGATTCCTTCTAGGCCAGATATTTAGTTATGACGCTAACGCAAAGATAAACAACACAGAGAGTGAGCTGGGACAAGGGGCTCATGACTGAAAGTTCTGTAATGAGCTCAGCTCTTTCGCTCCATATGCTGTTTCTGAAGGGACTGCTTCCCATCATGGCTGAAAACGGCCTTTCTTCACTATTTTTGGCCCCGTTCACCAGTATGCAAACCCTCATCAGCATACGATGAATACTATTTTGGAGGTCATGACAAATTAGAAATTAATGATTACCTCCAATTCAAACTCTCTCACTGCCATCAAGTGGATTCAGACTCATAGCTCCCCCCTGTAGGACACGGTATTTTAGCCCCATGTGGGTTTCCAAGACTGTAACTTTCTCTAGGAATAGAAAGCCTCATCTTTTCAAACTGGGAACCTTGAAGTGAGCAGCACACAGGGTAATCACGATGTCACCAGGGCTCATCTCCAAACAACATCAGCTAAATGTTGCACTGGGCCATGCACCAGAAAGGGACCAACATCCATGCATGCCTTCTGAGGACTTGTCAGACCTTTCCAAAGACAGAAAGCCGATGGTGCAGGTAGAGTTGGTCTGATGGAGAGGAATGTGTTAGTCTGGGTAGACTAGAGAAACAAAGCCAGAGTCACTCATAGATGTATTGGAAAGAGCTTTATAGAAAGAGCAATTGTCTATGGAAAAGATATCTCAGCCCAGTCCAGATCAAGTCCATAAGTCTGATATTAGCCCATATGTCTGATGCCAATCTATAAATTCCTCTTCAGACTCATGTAACACATGCAATGATGCCGAATGCAGGAAAATCACAGGCCAGTGGGTGGAAAGTCTAGTGGGTCAAGTCGTGGTGGAAGTACCTCAGTGCTGGCAGGGGTCTCTATGTGGCTCCCCTAGCTCCAGGGTGCTGGCTGCCATCAGCACAGCTCAATGTGGTTTGTCACCAGGAATGTCTTGCAGGGAGAGAATGTATCTAGCCTCCAGTGAGCTATTTATCTCCTTTGCGCCTCCAAATGAGGTCATCAAGTTGGGGCCTGATTGACAGGCTAGACTCCACCCCTTCGCAAGTTGACAGATTATGTAACTGCCACAGGGAATATCACCTTTTCTTTAGTAGTACTTTTTAGATTTACTCGCCTGCTCATTTTAACAAAGTTGAACAAGATCCTGAGCTGTCTCCTTTTCCCTACACATGAGCGACCCATCTGGCTTATAGAAATGAAAAGGCAACACGGAGATGTTTCCTCGACTTCTTGCAAAGAAAGAGGCAGTCACTGCTCTGAATGTGCCTTGATTGCTTCTCCTCAGTTCATTTTGACTCCAAGTTTTTGTATAGAGGAAGGTGTAGCTAGCCCTTGGCCCCACCCCAAGTATTTCAGGTTTCTTCAGTCAATAGTGGGAAGGAAGGGGGTCAGGGCAGACACTTGCAGCCATTTATCTTCTTCTTTAAGGGCTGCATTCTTTGTAAATGAAAGGGGCCAATCAATAGAGCAATAAGGAAGGAGGACAAGTGGCTGGGAGGGACCCACTGTGTGGTGAAGTCTATTCACAGCCAGTGCCCCATGTCCTCTCCATCAGAGGCAAGGCTCATTAAGATTCAACAAGAAAACTCTGTATGGGTTAATTAGCTTCCTATTAAACAGAATGAGATGGTTATGGCGACTGTGCCTGCTGCCAGTGCCTGTAGCATAAACGACGGGTCAGGAGAGGTTCAAGAGTTACTGAATTCTGACAAGGTGTCCCTTTGCCAGGTGGGAAGGGGAAAGACCACATACAGGAAGTGCGGGAGGTGGGGGGGGTTGGGTTTTCATCAGATTTTGTTCTTCAACCTACAGGATTACTTTGCTTCTGTTGAGGTTCGTTTCCTCCTCTGCATCTTAGGATGACAGGTAACAGTACCTACGTCTTAGAACATGATGGGCGCATGAAAGACGATCAGGAATGTTCCAGGACTCCACAGAATGCATCCAGTAAGTATGACGAATACGTGTCCTTGACAGTATTCTTGGTTTGGAAGCTAGAGGATGAAAGTTTCTGGAGAAGAAATGGGTAGCCCCATACAGGCCTTTTGCAGTCCCATAGGGCCCAATGAAGCTGCCCTTTTATATTGGCCTAGCGGACATTGCTTAAGGTGGAACCATTTCTTTCTCTGAGGTTTCTCTCAGAGATGAAAGGTAATTAGGAGTTGGGGGAAGATGACAGGTGAATAAGTAGAAATATTAAATATCACCATGGTTAGGCTCCAGTGATTTGATCACATATTTTTGTCTGGAATAAACTTTAAAAAAAATCATTTATTGCGAATTCAGCGAAAGCTTACAGAGCAAATCAGCTTTCCACGCAACAATGCCCACTCATTTATTCGGAAACCGACTGCAGTCCCCACCATGTAACAGCATCTATCCCAACGCCCCTCTATGTTTCCTGTTCCCATCTCTTCTTCTTTCCTAACCCTCCCTTCTTCCTGACCTTTGTTCTGGAGCAAAGGCTGCCCTGCTGCTCTTGAAGGGTTGCTTCATCTGAGGCGTTCCCGCTGTTCACCTGCAGCCCTCTCTATTGTTTGCCCAGCTGGAGCCACTAGAGAATTCATTTCCAGACCTGAAGGGTGACAGCGGGAACCAAATCTCTGAGCACACACAGCCTCCATGACACATTCTGCTGACGTCTTGAGAGAGGTTAAGTGACTTGCTCAGGGTCACGTTCTGAATTAGGGTGTGAAGCCATATTTCTTTCTGATTCCAGATAGGTAATTTCCCCAAACCGTTTATAAAACAACGATGGCAACAGGAAGAAGGAATTGAATGGCCTTTTCAGTAAGTCTAAGAATGTTCAAAGGCCCTCAGAGAAAGGTAGATCGTGTCTGCTTCCTAATTTGAGGGAGATGGCCAAGAAGCCGTTAAAATGGTTCCCTAACTTTCCAGCTTGGGTCCCTCACCCAAGTCTCTGAATTATATCTTTTGGTTTGGTCGCAGCCAGCGGGATCCCTGGATGCCCCATATTATTGACATTTTTGACTATCAGAACAAATACCTGCTAATATGAAAATGCTTTGGATGAGTCTCTATTGCTGTAGGGAATCATACAATGTCCCACGTCATGATTTTATGTACAGTACACCTGTATACTAGTTGCTATAAGTCAATTCAGACTCATGGTCACCCCGTGTGCATGACGGAAGAACGGTGCTTCATGGTCTGTGCAGTGGCTGACTTTTAGGAAGTAGATCACCAGGCCTTCTTTCTAAGCCATCTATAGGTGGACTGGACCCTATAGATGGACTGGACCCATCTATGGGTGGACTGGACCCTCCGTGTTTTCAGTTAGTAACCATAAATACCACCCAGGGACTCCTCGAATATACACATTCACTGCTGAAAAACATAACATAGAGGTCAATAAAAGTTAGGTTTTCAAACACAATACATCTGACTTTCCTATTTCAATTCAAGCCTTCTATATTTAAATAAGTGAAAGATTTCTTTTTTTTTTTTAATCAGAAATACTTCCCTGGAAATAACTGGCAGTGGTGATGGCAGGCTTTAACTTTGCATAATAAGATTCATAATTTGATTCATCTCTGGCTCCCACTCATTCATAATTTGATTCATCTCTGGCTCCCACTCATTGCTCCACACACACACAGAGAAATACTGTTTTCCCTTCAACCTGGCTTCCATGTGGGGTGCATGCTCACCCTCTGCTCCTTTTCTCTCGCCTCAGTACCAGGTCCCAAGCCCGTTGAGGAGGTCTTGACCACTGGAGAGACGTTGAATTGACTTCACATACTGAGTCTTGGCTGCAGGATCCTTTTGCAGATGAAGATGTCAAAAGGCAGTCTGCAGTGAGAATGACAGTGTGATTAACCAGAATGAGGCCTAAGTCAGAAGCAGCACGGACCACTGGGAAATTAAGGCACCAATTTTCACCGTCAAGATCAGCTGTGATAGGGTGGTCTATCCTAGCAACAGCAGAAACCTTCCCCTGGCCATCACAGTGAAAACTAATTTTGTGGTGTTATCCGTTCCAATATCTTTGAATCTAAAAAGTCCTTAAACAGAAAGTAAATACTCACACTTTTCTTTTCCTAGATCTGCCTTTAGCCTCTAATTGGGAAATCCTTAATTCAGTGAATTAAAAGGTTATTGAGTCTCAGCACAAATGTCATTTGCTTTCAGTTTTGATACAGCTGTGGGAAACTTCATTGGAGAGACAGAGAGGGATCCTAATAGTTAGCATTAACAGCATTCATAGAGAAAATGATACTAGAAATCACCCTGGTGTATCTTAAACCAAGTATACCATAGTTTATTTTCCAGGGGAACTGTGTTATAGCATGTCCTGTTATTCTGTTGATACAGATTTACCATAGGGTTATCCCATCTCTTAAAATATAACTACATATAAAGTGGTCACTCAATAAGGATAGAGACTTTTATGTCCCCTGATACCCATGCTTTAAAGAGGCTTTGCTGTGATATATTTCTTTTTAAGAAAATAAACACTATACAACGTTAGCTGCCAGATCTGTTCTTAACAGAAGATAAATCAGCTATTTCATACCATATTGAAATAACAAACTGTCAGACATGTCGTTTCTCAGCTGAAAAAGAAGTGAAAATAAAATTGATCTCCCATTATTCTGCATGCCATTTTATCTCTTATTGGAAGGTCCCCTTCCCCAATTCCCCAAATCTCTGGATACCCAGTAACCCAACCTGATGCAAGGCATTTTGCTCACCCGAGACCTAAGTCTTGTGCAAGGGACTCAATTATTGGAAGAAGACGGGCACAAAGGAAGTAGAGCAGGGAGGTGACAGAAAAGCTAAGGTCAAATGGAAACGAGGAAACCAAGGAAGGAGGCAGTTTAAAGAAGAGATGGTGGGCAATTATGTTGAGTGAAGCCTAGATATCATGAAGCATGAAGCGGGTGTCTCAGGGGAAATAGGTAGTTGTGGAAATCACCACTGACCTTGCAGTGATCTCATTCTATGGCTCAGATGAAAACAAAGTGCTGAGCTTGAGGAGTGAAAGAGGAGAAAATTCATGGGAGCACATCCAGGTGTCCAAAGCTCTACCCAGGAGGCAGAATAGGAACACCCTTCAAAAGACTGGAAAGTTAAATCTGATGCTAGCCAAATGCCTGTGCCAATGTTGTTGCTCAAGGTACAGGTCTTTGACTTACCTTATTAGCCAACTGCTTTCTAGAGAAATAGACAGGAATTCATTGCCTTTGCAGTAAAAGAGCAGCTCAAGGTCTCTGGATGAAATTACCTTGGGTTCTCTGAATTGGGGGGATCTGAGTCTTTCATTTCTTTATACTTCGGGGATTCTGACTTCTTCCTGCCCACCCCTTCCTCTAGACCTCTAACCTTCCTCTATCACGAAGTGGGGAACCAGCTGGGTCCTGTCCTCCCAGATGCCCTCTAGATGCATCCTTTGCTTGAAAAATGGGCTAAGGAGAGGCGTGGCTCTGATAATGGGGAGCTCCCTGGTAAGTCTTGGATTCAAGGTTAGTTGGAGGACATTGATGTCTGAACTGCACATAATCTCGGAGCTCAGGCTCAAAGAAATAGGGTTTTTTTTCTTTGCAGAAGGGTCTTGCTATGGCATGTTGATGACCAGGAGGCACAAGTTGAAAGATTTCATTAAAAGAAGAGTGGGTCACCAGACATCAAGCTGAGAGTCAGACAAAAAGGGGGTTCTTTGTCTAAGGAGTTCATCAAGGGCTTACCAGGATCCCTAATAGGGGAAAGAATAAAATTCTTATATTAAAACAGAACAACATATCAAACCCACTGCCACGGAGTCAATTCTGAGTCAGAGCAACTCCAAAAAGTGTTTCCAAAACAAAATTATTTATAAGAGTAGACAGACTCATCTTCCTCCTAGTGAGTTTGAACCACAGACTTGTGGGTAGCAGTCCCACGTGATGTACCAGAAAAGGTCCCTATTCCAGAAATTCATTCTTGGAGAAGAATAATAGAATGTTAGTCCACACCCTGATGACATGTCGTTTCTCTTTTTTAAAAAAAATTGTTCAGACAGGTAAACCCGAGTGAGGGCAAGAAAATGAAGGATGTACCTATATGTTTCTCTCAAATGCAGACCAGGATTTGATCTCCTTAAATTGTGTGGGCCTTGAGCATAGGCGGAGTCTTCTACCTCTCTCCAGGAACCTGGAGTCAGCATTTACTGGCCATGGGTGGCTTGGGCTTTGCACATGAGGGACTTATAGTCTCCCTAGACTGAGTTGCACACATTTTCCCTTGTTAGGAGGAACTCTGTTTCAGAGTTCTCTGGAAAGTGCTGGGTATTACATGGGAACAGCGCAGCTCTGCTAGTGTCAGTGAGCATCGCTACTGCCCTCACCTGTATGGGAAGTTAGGCATGAAGACTGAAACCTGCCCAGGACCCTTGCTTTCAGGACCTCCTGATCCAAGCCTCACGTGGTTCTTATCTCTGAAGATCCTGGGAGCCACATTGCCCTCCTGAACCCTGTCCCGTACCAGACCTTACATAATCACTAGTAATGATTATTATCCATTTTAATCATTGAATAATGTGAGCGCAGTTATAAATTGATTAAAGGTAATATTCCTTAGATTATATGGATACTAACAAAAATAGTTGTCTAAGTCATTCTACTTTGAATTACATTATGTGTCATATCGTTCAAAACATTCTAACGTGTTACATTCTACAGAATAAACGTCTTTTTACATTTCTCTCTTTCTTTTCCTTTAATTACTACTTAATTGTCAAATTTTAAAAGTTCTAGCTAATCGGTTCACAAATATTATGTAGCACAGTACTATAGCTACACCACCAGAAAGTTTGACAAAAGCAGCGATTATTCAAACTAGGGCAGCAACAAGAGCAGCAGTGATTTGAAAACCACATGATCTGAAAAGTCACTGAAACTGGACAATAATGACAGCTCTCACCAGAATGCACTAGAAAGTTCGAAAGTAAATGAGCATAGCTTTAGCCTACTGATACACGTAAGCTACTGGGCTTAGGAAACATCTTTCGGTTTTTCTGACTGTAGTTATGTTTTTCGAAAGTAATAACTTTCTGCTGAAACACTACATATTGTGGCATCGGACACCCTCTGACAGGGTCACCTGGTACACACACCCACCCCCCAGGGACACCACCACGGAGCACTGACTTAAGCATTTCTCAGGCTGCCTGTGAACCACTCTTGCTAAAAATCAAGTCACACCTCTCTGCTCGGCTGCCTGCCAAATTGGACTGGTGGCTGCCCTGGTCTCCTCTTCCCCCCAGCTGCCTGCCAGTGCTCAGAGCTGTATAGCACAGTGCTTTCAGCAGACCTGTTTTTGTCTCTCCATGTCCCTCAGGGGTTAGCAGCCACCCACTCGACATTCACATCCTTGACCACCCTCCGGATGTTATATGAATGAATGATTATATTCACGGATTTGTTTAAACCACCGTGCCCGCTCCAACACTTACTAGCCTCGTACCCACGACCTCCTTAACCTCTCCGTGTTGTTCAGATTGCCAAATGAATGGACTTGAGCAGGACGCAGCCTTTTGAGTCGAAGTAAAATGTATTCATGATATATCCATGTTGTGTGATATAGTGACTCACTTCCACTTAATCACTAAATAATATCCCATTGAATAGATGCATCAGCATAGGGTTATCCATTCTCCTTTAAAAGGACATGTTGGTTGATTGTTACTTTTAATTATTATAGATAAGTCTCCTGCCAGTGTTTACATGTAGGTTTTTGTGTGGACATAAGTTTCAAAGCAGTTGGGCAAATGCCTACAAGCATAATTGCTAAGTGTGGCAAGATTGTGTTTTCCTTTGTAAAGCAAACCGGACTCCCTGCCATCAAATCAATGCTGACTCATACGGACCCTATAGGACAGTAGAACTGCCCTGAGTGGGTTTCCCAAACTGTAACTTTTAAAAAAAATCATTTTACTGGGGGCTGATACAACTCTTATTACAATCCATACATCCATCAATTACGTCAAGCGCATTTGTACATGTGTTGCCATCATCAGTCTCAAAACATTTGCTTTCTGCTGGAGCCCTTGGTATCGGCTCCTCATCTTTTCCCCTCCCTCCCCGCTCTCTCCTCCCTCATGAGCCCTTGATAATTTATAAATTATTATTATTTTGTCATATCTTACACTGTTCGATGTCTCCCTTCACCCACTTTTCTGTTGTCCATCCCCCAGGAACGAGGTTATATGTGGATTCATGTAATCTGTTACCCCTTTTCATCCCATTCCTTCCACCCTCCCAGTATCACCACTCTCAGCACTGGTCCTGAAGGGTTCATCTGGATTCCCGTGTTTCCAGTTCCTATCTGGACCAGTGTACATCCTCTGGTCTAGCCAGATTTATAAGGTTGAATTGGGATCCTGGAAGTGGGGTGTGAGGAAGCATTTAGGAACTAGAGGAAAGTTATATGTTTCATTGTTGCTACCTTGCACCCGGACTGACTCATCTCCTCCCCGAGACCCTTCTGTGAGGGGATGCCTGTAAGGCTTTGGTTCCCCAATCTGCACTACCCCTCACTCACCATGATATGATTTTTTGTTTTTTGACACCTGATACCTGATCCCTTTGACACCTCATGATCACACAGGCTGGTGTGCTTCTTCCATGTGGGCTTTGTTGCTTCTGAGCGAGATGGCCGCTTGTTTACCTTCAAGTGTTTAAGACCGCAGACGCTATATCTTTTGCTTTTGACAGGGGTAGAAAGTCTTGTCTTTGTAAGAAACTGCCAGAACGTCTCCGAGAGTGCGGCACCATTTGACGTTTCCACCAGGAGTGAATGAGAGTTCCCTTTGCTCTCTAGCCTCACCAGCGCTTGTGTGATTCAGCTGTTTTGAGTAGGGAAAAGGGGGGTTTCAATTATTTTAATAGGTGTGCAATATTCTCTCTGTTGTTTTCATTTGAAATTCCCTCACGACAAATGCTAAACATTTCTTCCTATACTTATCTACCATCCTATGGTTTGTCTTCTTTGGCAAAATGCATAGTAAGATCTTTTGCTAAGTTTTGAAGTGGATTTCTTGTTTTCACGGTGTTGAATTTTAAGCGTTTTTATAGTATGGGATATATACTCTCTATAGTTCTTTGTGAGACACATGATTTGCAAATATTTTCTTCCTGCCTCTGCTTGTGTTTTCATTTTCTAACAGTGTCTTTCAAAGAGTAGTTTTTCATTTTAAAAGAATCCCATTTATGGGTTATTTTATGAATTGTGATTTTGACGTGGTATCTAAGAGATCTTTACTTAACCCAAGGTGACAAAGTTTTTCTCCGATGATGTCTTTCAAAAAGTTTATGGTTTTAGCCCTTACAATTTGAGTCGTGATCCATTTTGATTAATTTCTGTACAGGATGCAAAATTTGCATCAAAGGTTTTGGTTTGCTTGGTTTGCATGTTTTTGCATGTGGATATCCATTCATTTCAGCACCGCTATTAAAAGGACTACGCTTTCTCCTCCAAATAACTTTTGTACCTTTGTCACACATCAATTGCCCATACATATGTGGGCCTATTTCTGGATTCTCTGCTCTGGGATAAGTGTGCTGATGTTTTCAACTTAATACATAATGCATTAACACAATAAGATGACCTGGTGAATGAAAAATAGGCGAGGGATATGATAGGTAAAATTAAATGTTAATGGAAAATATGAGTGCGAGTATATGGGTATTCACAGTAATATACCTTCTTCTCTGTACTTGAAATTTTTAATAATCAAGTATTTAAATATTTCCTATGGATTTCAGGATGACCAGAATGCCATCAGCCTTTGGACAGGTTTTAATAAAACAACTTCTTGCAGGTGATTTCACTTAAACATTGGGTTTGTTTGTTTGTTTGTTTGTTTTACAAAACTAGTTAAGAGTCATCCTTTCCAGACTATTGTCTTCATGGGATTTCATTCTATCTGGGCATGCTACATGTAATGTATTAAAAAAAAAAAAGTACCAGTCTTTCCGACAGTTTCTTCGAGTCAATGTAGTATTGTTGGATTGGTCATTGGTTGCATTCAAGT